AGAGAGTGAGCATCTGAGAGCACAAAGTACTGCGCCTGCCACGAAATCTGCACTTCGAGGTTCACCATGCGCTGTGCCTGAAACGAAATCTGCACTTCGAGGTTCACAAAGTGCTGTGCCTGCCATGAAATCTGCACTTCGAGGTTCACCAAGCGCTGTGCCTGCCACGAAATCTGCACTTCGAGGTTCACCAAGTGCTTCGCCTGCCACGAAATCGGCACTTCGAGGTCCACCAAGTGCTGTGCCTGCCACGAAATCTGCACTTTGAGGTTCACCAAGTGCTGCGCCTGCCACGAAATCTGCACTTTGAGGGTCCCAAAGCGCACGAAATCTGCACTTTGAGGTTCACCAAATGCTGCGCCTGCCACGAAATTTGCACTTCGAGGTTCACCAGTGCTGTGTCTGCCACGAAATCTGCACTTCGAGGTTCACAAAGTAGTGCTTTACCTGTCACGAAATCACGAAATCTGCACTTCAAGGTTCACCAAGTGCTGCACCTGCGACGAAATCTGCACTTTGAGGTTCACCAAGTGCTGTGCCTGCCATGAACTCTGAACTTCGAGGTTCACAAAGTGCTGTACCTGTCACATCCTGTCACGAAATCTGCACTTTGAGGTTCACCAAGTGCTGCACCTGCCACGAAATCTGCGCATCGAGGGTCACAGAGTGCTGTGCCTGCCACGAAATCTGCGAACGAGTCACGCGTGCAAAGTCCCGATTCACTGCACCTGTCACGAAATCTGAGCTCCTCGACGATCACCACCATGTCCAAAGGGCTGCACCTGCCACGAAAAGTGCATTTCGAAGTAAACCCCTCCGATCCCGTGCACCTATCGTCGAAAAGTCGGCTTTGGAGCACCAAAACGCCAGGTTTCCCTTGCGCCTGCCACGAAAAGTGACCACCATGTGCGAAAATGCGCGCGGCACCACAACAAGAGCGCAGTCGCTATAAGATGCTAGAAGCACCCGTCGCGGGCCTTCAGATTTTGCGAGCCTGCGCAGTCGAGATGCACATTGACGATGTCGAGAGGCATGAATGTACTGTAACTAGCAGCGAATTAGCCGGTCCCGCCCGCGCGCTTCAGCGATCTAAGCAACAGCTGCTTTAAGAACCCCTCAGTGTGCCCACACTGTTTGGGGAAAACAAGAGGGACATTCAATAATCGTATGGTGAATGAAAGGCTTGGATGTGTCAGGACGTTAATGTTATATATATATACCCCTTAACTTATCCCAGTATGAAAGCAGGGGGGTCCACCCCCCTATAAAACGGCTTTATACATATAAAGGGGGAGGTTCACCCTTGATTTCATAGAGACGACAAGGTTTCATATAGTTTTTACATGGTGGTTCACCCCCAAATTTATAGACAAGATGTTTTCCAAAAATATCCGAACATCACAACACGACCTGTGATTTCATAGAAAATTATTGTTGTCGGGAACTTGTCATACGAATCAGATTGCCTCTATACCTCAGAGCTTATGATTCTATACAGACTTGGTGTTGACCTAAATGGTCGTCTATACTATCATGAATTTATAGAGAATTGACCGTTATTATATAAACTGCTTAGGGGGCTTGGACGCTTGATTGTATAGATGTGATCTGCAACTCGCCGGCCCACGCTGCAAGTGATGGAGAACTTTGTCTTTTTCTCTTATGTCTCTTATAGACATTTAAGAATAATCCATAATTAATACGTCTTAATACATTATAATCGAATTAGAATAAAACCGGTTAAGGCATGTGTTTACATGTAACATGTACCAACAGTCTACCATAGTCTACAAATGTATATATACAAGTAAACATCACAGTGTTTCAATATAGATCGGCGGGCGAAGTGTCAACGGCGCTTTGAGAGGGGTCGCATGTGTTTGCATGTTTTTGCTGCCTGTTGGTTTCCCGATCCAGTCGGGTTCCGTTTCCGATCCGTTTCCGTGGATATTGACTCTATAAAATCACAGCGCACTTCTTGAACGGATGTGAGCACGGACACTCGTACGTAGACGGGGTCATTCTAACAGGCTTAAATGCACGTCCAAAATCACCGCATTGTATGGTCCAGAGGACGTATGACCTCGCCAAATCATAGACGTGACCACGTGCCACCTCACCATTTTATATCTATAAAATCTCAAGCAGGACCCCTACCCCTGTATGTTAAGGGGGATATATATATATATATATTATAGAAACTTGCGCTGTCTCTCCACAATAGATTTTATGTTGCAATTAATGCCGCTAGTTATTTTTGTGGTTGAATAGCAATGGCCAATGGCAGTACACGTTGCGTTCTTATCATGAAAGTTCGAGTCGGTTAGAGGTCAGAGAAATAGAACACCCTGAAACTTACAAGAAGCAAGAAGCAGCCAAGATGAGGCTATTCATACAAGAGCAAGGAGGAGGTGGTGGATTATATCAGTCGATGTTTAGGCCCGGACTTCCACAAGGGCAACTATGATTCGTTCACGCACAACTGTAATCACTTCAGTGTCCTGGCAGACAGTTGCAAGTGTTCAATGTGTGTTTTTTTGTTTGGTGTGCGTGTGAATGCTCAAGCATCCTTCAAGGTGACAAACTGCTGATGCACCTCACCAACGAGCATGTTCCAAGCGAGATCCTGAACCAACCTGAGCCTCGTTGGAAGGGTCACTGTAAGTCGGGTTTGCTGTGTTGGCCGCCACACGCGAACAGTCATGTCGAAACGTAGTCAATCAAGTGGATTTCAGTGTACCAATGTGTGTTTTTTGCTAGTTGTTTGTTGAAGGTTGGATAGTAGTAGTAGTAGTAGTAGTAGTAGCAGTAGTAGTAGTAGTAAGTAGTAGTAAGTAGTAGTAGTAGTAGTAGTAGTAGTAGTAGTAGTAGTAGTAGTAGTAGTAGTAATAGTAGTAATAGTAGCAGTAGCAGTAGCAGTAGCAGCAGTAGTAGCAGCTAGTACTAGTACTAGTAGTAGTAATATAATTCTTGGGTGCATCTACAATAAGAGCTAGGGAGTTCTTGCAAGTGTGGGCCGCCCATACCAAGTTCCATCAAGTTCCGGCTTGCACATTGCTGAGGAGCTTATCATGAACTCCACTGCCATCCTGCAACTTTTGCGGCCCTTCCTCAACAGGTGACAGTTGAACGTTGGGTGCTGTCGGGTGCAAGACCGGCCGCGAGAAAACGATTAGACATGGGAACCAAGGCAAAGTTAAAGGTGATCCAACAACAGCAATCCAACAAGCAATAGGAACAAAAACAAATTATATAATGCAAATCAGCACGCAAGACGACAGTCGACTCAGTGATACAATGGAGACCGGTGTTTCTTGCGATTTGCGGTGGTTATGTGCTTGTGGGTTTGTCGTGGCAGTGAGTTTGAAGCAGGCCATGGCATCCCCACTACAGCTGATCATGCCTTGACGCGGCTCCCTTGTGCAACCGCTATCAACCGCTCATAACTGAACCTTCAGCTTCCGCTTACAGTACAACAAAATGCACGGCCAGCTTTCTGTTCGTTGCTTGAAGTTTTCTTTGCATTTTGCATTGTCACCCTGTGTGTGCACGATTTTTTGCGTGCGCCGTGCGTCACAGCACTTACCAGACCATGTCCACCTAATGTATCATATCAATTCACTTCCCAATATACGGTTTTGCGTGCGCAGTTTTGATTCCAGAGAGAAGATAAGAGGAAAGAGAAGGGGTTAGGAGGGACTTGAGTAACAACTTACCTGGGACGTCCAAGGGACCGCAGGTGGTTGGGCAACGTCCAACTGGGCGATGAGCTCCAAGCAAACTCTGCCGAGGAACGAGAAAGCGTATCTTGTCATTTGCAATGCTGGCTGGATAGACGTTGAGTGAAATGTTGTATACGTTTCTAGTTTCTACCAGGAGTAATAAAGCAAAGGCCCAAAGGCCTCAAGACTGGGTGATAAATGAAAGGAACCGTTTGCCAAGGAATGTCTCTTGGGGCCGCTGGCCTTGGTTTCCTTTGTTCGCAGAGATGGTGGCCTTGAGATTCAAGGCAGGGGCCCTAGGCATGACAGAGTAGCAAAGACTGGCTGAGGCAGTCCCCAGGCTTGAAGACAGAGAACCTCCGATATTTCAGTAGATAGCTATCAATATCTATCAATAGATGCAGCATTAAATCCGCCAATGTTGTGAAGTTTGAATGGGTCACTACGTGTTTCATCGTGTTTCTGCAGTTTTCCACTGGAAGGTCGCAGCAATCCGATGTGTGACCTGATGTTCCTCCCGCCTTGAGAAAACTCGGTAAGACAGTACGTATCATCTGCAATCCATGAACGAACACCTTAGGTCGGGTGGAGTCGCTCGAAGATGACTACTGCGTCCACTTCTCAGTACTTGAGAGATTCCGGCACTTGAAAACAGGTAGCAGATGACAGAAGATGGAACGGGATGACTTTATGACGTGGTAAATTCGCCACAGAGGCGAGCAACATCGTTTTACTATGAATTTACTTCGGGAGAGACCCGACCCTGAGAGGCCATTTGGAGGAAGACAAACACATGTCTATATCTGAGAAACGAGGCGTGAGTTGTGGTATCAGTTCTGATATTCTGACACATCATCTATCATAAAGGCTCCAAAATATTCTGGAACATGTTCTAACGCTCTTGTTGGCCTGTGGCCTGTGTCCTGCCATGACGTATGACATGTGTTCCCACATTTGTTCTGCCATCAAGCCTGCCGCTTGTTCCGGCATACGCTCTGACGCTGCTGACGTTTGATTTGATACTCTCCTTTTTGGCAAACTTATCGACGTGCGACATACTTTTGACATCCTTTCGGCATTCTACCCGCCATATATTCAGGCATCTCTTCTGACATTCTAACTGGCATACCTTCCGGCATGCTAAGGCACTCTACCCGGCATCTTCTGACCTTTCTATCCGGCACATCTGTTGGCATATTATCTGGCAAACTTTCTGGCATTCTAACCGTCATATCTTCATATCTGGCGTAACTCTAACCGGCATATTCTGGCAGAATCTGGAATTCTATCCTTTCCGGCATACCTGCCGGCGTTCTATCAGGCATATTGGCATATCTCTTGGCGTTCTATTTGCCATCGTCGGATGTTTTTTCTGGCTTTTCTCGCCTGGGCTGGGCCCCTCTTTGGTGCAGCCGGCGCTGTCTATGGCGCGCAGGCTGACCTAGGGTTCTTTGTGGTCCTTGCATGCTGGCGCCCTCTATGGTGGTCCACACATGGGGACGGAGTAACACCTTTGTTAAAATATGTTTTTTCTTCATCAGGCATCTGATTATGCCGGCAAGAGACCCCAAACAGTGTGTGTGTGTGTGTGTGAGAGGTTTGTAAGCAGAAAGTCTAGAGATCTAGACGTATTGGGGTCCAGAGAGGTGATGGTGGTGATGAAGTGAAGGTGGGTGTGAGTGAGTGTGGGTGAGAGGGAGTGTGAGTGTGAGTGAGAGTGGGAAAGTGAGTGTGGGTGAGAGTGAGTGTGGGTGAGAGTGAGTGTGAGTGTGAGTGAGCGTGAGTGAGAGTGAAGGTGGGTGTTAGTGAGTGTGGGTGAGTCTGGGTGAGAGTGAGTGAGTGCGAGTGTGAGTGAGAGTGAGTGAGTGAGTGAGTGAGTGAGAGTGAGAGTGAGAGAGTGAGAGTGAGTGGGGGTGAGTGAGTGTGCATGGGAGTGTGAGTGAGAGCGAGAGAGAGTCTGCGAGTGGGAGTGAGTGTGAGTGTGAGTGAGTGTGTGAGGGAGTGCGAGAGTGAGTGTGAGTGAGAGTTAGTGTGGATGAGAATGAGTGTGAGTGAGAGTGAGTGAGTGTGAGTGCGAGTGCAAGTGAGAGTGGAGTGTGAGTGCGAGTGAGAGTGAGAGTGGGAGTGTGAGGGAGTGTGAGTGAAAGTGGCGGGTGAGAGCGGGAGAGTGAGAGAGTGAGCATCTGAGAGCACAAAGTACTGCGCCTGCC